AAAGGGTACTACAGTACCGGGATACACAGTAACCGCCCAGGAGTGCGCTTTTGGGTTTCGGCACTCATGCTTCACGTGGGGTCTAGCTGTACAGGAACATAATAATAGGGGTATATGATATTATATACCCTTCTTCATGTGATGTTCAGCTTTAATAAAGAGTCCCCAAAACAAAAAAAGCGAAAATGGTGCGACTGGGGTACCCAAGAGTAGGGTCAGAACTTTGACAGACCCCGTGTCATCAACCCTGAACCCCAAACATCCCTATATGTGTTGTTATGCAACCTGACTCAAGCCAGCTGAGCCAAAAACACATGCGCTTGACACATGTTCTGCCTCGTCCCTTGTCCACCTCGCAGAAGAACATCAAAGTCGTCCACTGGTCCTGTTACGGAACAGGGTTTAGGATTTATGGTTAGAGCTTGGAATTTCGCCTTAAGGGTCCAAGGACCCAAGTAACCGGGTTTTAGGGCCTAAATACTATAGTATTAATGGTATTTGGGCCCTAAAACCCAATTATTTGGGTCCTTGGACCCTAAACCCTAAACCCTTAACCCTATATACCCCCATAAACCCCTTTAAAGGGACCCTATTATTTGGGTCCTTGGAGCCTCAGGGTTGGACTTCACAAGCCCAAAGGGAAGGCTCTCAGTTATGTTAGGGTTTAGGGTTTAGGGTTTAGGGTTTAGGTTATGCATCCTGTCAGTTCCCTGCAGTCTATAGGCTCTAGGGCTTAGGATCCACAATAACCCAACCCTAAACCCTAAACCCTAAATCCTATAACTCAACAACTTAGAGAAATGAAGCCCTGGGGTGCTGCAGGCTTTCATCTGTGACTACTTTAGACGAACCTCAAACCCGAGCTTTTTTCACCGTCCCGAAGTCTGCTGCAAGGTTTAGGGATTACCTGGACCCCAAAAGTAGATAAAACAATAGCCCAAAACCATTAAAAGTAACCCAAAGGGCCATTATCCTACATAGTTTTGGTGTTCAGGTCAGGACCAATTGGGTTAATGCAAGTTCTATAGGGTTCATGTCCTGACTTTTTGGGCAGGATTTGCTTTTCTAAAAGCTCTCCCTCCAAACCCTAAACCCTAAACCCTCCCCCGCGCCTCGATACTGCGGAGGAAGTTTCCTGCACGGCCCGTCACGAAGCCGACGGCCTCCTGTGGGACCTGCACTAGGGCTCGGTTTAGGGTTTAGGGTTTAGGGGGTTTAGGGGGTTTAGAGTTTAGCGTTTAGGGCTACTGTTGATTGTTTACCCTTATAAGGGCCCAAGTACCTAATAATCATATACTGACTCAAAACCAATACTATGATTGCGATTACCCCAAACCCAAGTACCAAAGTATTGGGTACTTGGACCCTTTGGGTTATAGGAATTTGATGTATTTGTGATCTGGGGTTTGTAGGACTTGCGGTTGCAGGACTTGGGGTTTACACAATTCTTCGGTTTGGGGAATGCAGGGTTTCAGGTTTGAGGGTAAAGGGTATGTTCCGTTGTCATCCAGGTTTTCTGGTCAGTTAATAGCCAAATTCGAGAGGTACTTATGAACTGTAGGCTATGAGTAATGTCGCACCCTAAATAATGGAGGGATCCGGAATAATGAAAAGTTTCGGGGAAATTATTCAGAATCAACTATTGTTTGAGGGGTTCGGAATAATGAAAAGTTTTGGGGACCGAATTTTGTTTGTTAAAAAAAAGCTGATTCTGAATCCGAATTTTGG